GAAATTTTCGTAGCATTATCTCGTATTTGGAACACCAAGTCAAAAAAACTGATATTGTCTCACTTACCAGTTATCACCAACACCATCATCATCATCATCATCATCATCATCATCATCATCATCATCATCATTATCTTCATCATCATCACAATCCGTCATCATCATCGTCGTCGTTCACGTCGCCTTCTTCTCCTCGTTATTTCACTCTTGCACCTTCCCATATTCTACCAAATTTTCTTTATTCAACATTTCGCCACTCGCGTCCAATGCGCAGCAGTTGAAAGATGTCATTCGGTTGCGGAGAGTAGGGTATCATGTTTTCAATCGAGCGAGATCGATCTCAGATGGGCAAGGTACACGTGACATCGCCCCGCGAAAGTAGATTCCAGTTCTAATCGAGCGGGAACGCTAAATATAGCTGTGCGCTTGCGTGAGGTACGGGCCAGGCCGTGGATTGGTGTATGTGTGCCTCCTTCTTTAAGTTTGGCCTAAAACTAGGCTGGGTTTTTTTGGTATTTAAGTAGTTGAAATTCAGGATTCTATTGAATTAAGATTTTGGGCTCTTATGGGTCTGAAAAATTTTAAGGCTAAGCTCTATGTGAACTAAACCAATATCCAGTCGCCTTGACCGAACAAGCTTAATTAGTGAAGGATTACACACATTTATGATTTAAAATGTTTGTTGCAGGAACAAAGCGGCAAATCCCGAGCGAGCAAGACTAGCCTTCCACTCAAGGGTCAAGAGGTCATTTGCTTTATCTTGCCCGTTCGCTGAGCCAGTCATACAATAAACAATTATTGGATGAGGTTTTGTGACATCCGAAATAATCATGGTTGAGCTGACTGTTATCAGCAGAGCCAAAGGCACACCGAGACCTTGATTATTCTGGATATTCACAAAAACCGAATCTAACAATTGTTTTATTATTACATTGTTTTGAAGGAAATAAGGACAAACACAGCATCGCATGCAATACAGTTTGACATTGCTCTTGGAAATCATGCAATGCGCAGGCGACCTTGATTAGTCCGCACTATCTGCTAGCAGACAACTAACTAATCTGGAGGTTGTGCTGATTTCAAAAATTAACTGTAAGTTCTTAGCCAATGAGAAGACAGATATTGAGTACAATGTGTAATAATAACGTATAACATAACTTACCGTCCTGATCTTTCATCGTAAATGCGTAAAGCTGAAGTGGTAACCACTAACTCGTTAACTGGGCTCCGGATCTGATTATAAGTCATTTATTCAAGCTATGTGGCTGTCAGTTCGCTTTTGGCTAGTCTCTGCTCTGCAGACATTTTACTCCTTCTACGGAGCTCGTGCTCGGCATCCTAAACGGACAGAAAAAATGATCTGAGTATATGAGTACGGCCAAGGTGTATTGAGAAGCAATCTTGGCTTAAAACAACGATAAATTACAAAGGTAAACTTGACAGATAAGGCTAAGTTCGCACCAACTCAGGTGAGCCACCGTATAGACATGACGTTTAATAACCGGGCGCTTCGACCGATAGCCCTATGTCGGAGTTCAAACAGTTTAAACCACTCCTTTTAACTGTGTAAGCCCATACATACTTACGTGTTCACGGCTGTCTCCATAACAACGATAATTTTTCGTTCACATGCACGAACTTATCTGGAACAAGGATTAGGATTAGGTTCTTAGTTTGTGAAGGAAAAATACAATTGTAGCTAAGAGTATTTAGTGGTATTCCGGTTATTCCTCATTTAAAATCTGCTACTGCAATACATTGCAGTTGAAGTGATAAGGCTCCTATGTCTCCAAAGAGGAATCTGAATGTTGACTTTATTTGCTTAAGTGTACAGATTTTTTAATATAATATTTTAGAAAATATACCCTGCGAGCAGAGGCTACATTTCGCTGTGTGAGCTGGAGTGCTAAAAGTAGCTTCTGCCGACAACCGTTCAGTTTTTCTATCGTGCATGCGCGAAATTCGTCACGCGATTCGTAAGCAAAATTAATGGTCAGGTTTGTCGTCAAATGGCGCGAGTTTCGCGGGGAATGATAAAAAAAATGCGACAACTTTGATCTGCTACGCAAGACTCACGCAGTGCTCTAAACTGGTCAAGAACAGGAAAAAACTCGTGTTTTTAATTTATTCGTCCAGATTTCTGGACGGATTTGAACGGTTGTCGGCAGAGGCTACTTTTCGCACGCCAGCACACACAGCGAAATGTAGCCTCTGCTCGCAGGGTAAGAAAATAAGAACCTGTTTCAAATTTTAGGCGAAACCGAGTCTTGTATAGAGGGGGCGTAACTGGCAAATTTTAGCCTAAAAGGTTTTTAAAAACAGGTTCTTAGTCGCGGGTGTTTAAGGTGGCTCGACTGGATTTTTTGGGGTTGATACCTCCCCAGTTTGAGCATTAACTACGTCGGCATGAGTAAAGATATGGAAAAAAGGTTACCACAACTGTATTATATAAAGATGAAAATTTCTTATGATCTGGGTTTTATTGCAATCGGAGTCGCCATGGCAACGTAATGACGCCATTTCGTTTTTCATTTATCTTTGTGTTTCTCTGTACCAGGAGTTTTTTGAAGAAATCGCTTAAGGGAGTATGTACCTGCCATAATTGCCTCCATTATGGCAAAGTTTGAAGAAATTCTATGAGAGCTGGACTTTTAGAAAGTCTGACTGTGTAACAATAAATAAATGTGCCTCTGGTGACCGGACGTTTCGCCCACGAGTCGTTTAGCTAACGTCCCGTTCCGTTAAGAAGCGAAACGAGCGCTACGCAACATGTATATGCTTCGTTCGCTTAAGCATGATAGAAAAAGTGCAACACGCATGTATATACCTCGTTTTTTTAGCCACTGATAAGGCGAAAGTAGTTAGGGAACTGACCCAACACGTACGCGAAATGACTTCAGAAGTTAGCGAGAAGGACATTGGCGAATCGACTCGAAGGCGAAAGTTAAAGTTGAGTTGAGGCCTCCTGGTTTACTGGTTTTTACTTGCCCATATACTGGCTCTAAATACCGTTACCATAACGAAAAGAGAGGCCACAAGCACCACAACTATAATGCGCTGATTTATGGACTCTCGTACCATTTTCATTACCCTGCGAGCAGAGACCCTTCGATGTTCTTAGATAAGTCGGAAAGAGTTTTGTAAGAAGGTCGAAGTGCCTCTGTCGCATGACTCATCTGCGGGCCGACCCTGACTTGAACCACTAGGTAGTCTTAACGCTTTATATTAGAGAGCTATTAATTAAGTACCATTCATGTACACTCGCCTGACACAAGGGGTACTTACCTTATCAACTACAGGTACATGTTGTCAGAAATTAACATAGAGAGGCGCATTTTCGTGGGGAATGAAATCTACCTCCGATTATATGGCATACGGCATGTTCATCTCTGGTGAAACTTGGTAAAACATTAGCAGACCCTCGTTACCAATTAATAATCCAGCTAGGCTCCCCGGTGTGTTTGACACAACATCTGTGTGCGCATTGGTCAGCTTATTCGTCGCCTGCGAACTCGAACTGGCCTGCAAACATCAACGTGCGTCATGCGCGTAAAAGCTTGTGCCCAGTGACAACCGTTAATGTGATCGGGAATCCAACATGGCGGATGAAATGAGGGAAAAAGTGGCTCAACTTTTGAAGGGAATTGACAGGTATGAAAGCTGACCACTGCTGTTTAACTTATAAAACAACATAAAACTAGTTACTGCAGAGATAAGTGTAGGTAGAATGTAGTAAGAAACCTGTTGTGAAGAAAACGTGGTGGTCTTTTGATCACGTGTCGGAAATAAGACAGCTGATATAAAGATTACAGCAAAATTATTTTGTGAGGTTTTTCTGGTTGTTTCTATCCATGAAGTTATAAATTTGGTTACTTGATTTAAGACCAAATCGTTTCTTTTGTTTTAGGTACAATCCTGAAAACCTGACAACTCTTGAAAGCTATGTTCATCTTCAGGTAAGAACAAGAAATTTTAGCTTATGCACTTCAATAAAGGCATTTTTCATAAATTATTATTGTATTTATGAACCCTCGTTCTGAGGTTAAGTTATCTTGTTATGGTTGCTCTCAAACCATTTTGACCCATGAGACAAATATCATAATAAAACCAAAACTATCAACAGACAAAACATGAGGAATGAATGCGTAACTTACCTCGTTCTTTAAAGCGATGATGAGATGAAACAAGTGGTATAAATGTGTAATAATTATATTTCACTCTTACTCCTTGATGAACAATGGAACAAGTATGATAAATGAGTACTATATCTCGTTCTCTAATCTTCATTGAGACGAAACAAGCGCGATAAATGTGTAATAAGAATGCCTGAGGATGTTGTTGAGCAGGATAAAATTTGTAGCGACATATATAACTCTGCTTTTCTGGCGACTTGACTGTAAATTTTGAGTGACATGACTCTGGTTTGGGGCGACTTGACAGTAAACTGAATTCTTCGACTGAGTTGCTCCTCTTCTTTTGTTCTAGGTCTATAATAACGTCTATGACCTGGATGCAAATCTTGCTGTTTTAAAATTGTGAGTACAATGTAAATGTATTTCATTGCAAGTGCCATATAACATGGTTTTGGCTAGATTGCAGATTTCCTGGTCCACTAAATATCTAACTTAAAAAACTGCTCCTGCAGTCCCAAAACCTATAACCTTAACTTTCTGACATGTACATGGAAATTAGAACATCTCTCCTGATACTCATTTGCCCTTAGTGATTGCTTATAGCTTGCAAGTAGAGGTGAATGCTGTTAGTGAATTTTTTGTCTTATCTCCGAGCTAGCTAAATGTGAAGTCTTTTCACTCTAAATCCATTGCCTTGCTTTGAACAGTTTTGATGTATGAACACCCTATTATTTTAGAGAACCAGTTAATTAGATTACAGTGCTATACAATAAAGCTTTTACATGTAGTACAAAAACAAGTGGTCACAAAAGCCTATCAGATGAAGGCATCCCATTATCTTGTGTTTTAGTGACCAGGGGCCAAAATAGTCCTATACATGTATATGCGATCAAAAAAACAATCAAAAACTAAACTCCTTTGTTGTTTGCATCAAAACTTACTAATTACATTTTCACATCAGGTACCAGTTCAATCCTGCATATCACCAAACTACAGTCACCATGCAGATCCTACTGAAAGCTCTTATGACTCTACCAAATGCTGACTTCATAATGTGCAGATGCCTAATTGATGATGCTAATGTATCCTTCCTGTTGTACCTTTTTAAAATAATATTATTAGAACAGTAGCAGAAGTAGTAGCAACAGCAGCAGCAGCAGCAGTGATAGTAGTGGTAGCAGTAGTAGTAGTATCATTTTCATCATTATTATTTATTATCAATTCAAAGCATTAGGAAAAGAAAGAAGCTATGTACAAAGAAGGCAACTCCTTTTTGGGGGGACACCTTTGCACCTGAGAGTTAGTATCCTTATATGTGTGTTTGGGAAAATCTGACAGAGGGGTCTAGACTTGTACCCACTATTGAATCTTTTTTACCTGGCCCATATTATTTTTTCTAGTACATTTCAATGACAATGTACAATGTACACGCTACTTGAGGCATGAAATTGCACTCCACTGTAAAGGATGGAGCTTTAAAAGACTTCTTTTTCTTCTTTGATGAATTTAACTATTCAGGAAATGATGTTAAAAACATTCATTTTATAACTGTCTGCGAATGTCGGGCAAAGGTGAAGACCCCTAGACTCAGACCCTCATAAATCCACCACTACCACATCAATTTAGGAGCGTGTTACATGCACCTCATCTGCCATTAACTGAACAAAAAATTGACTTGCTATCCTTGACATTCATCAGCAACAGGATCCAGCTATAGCTAGTGTTATCAAACTCGCAGAACTGTTAGAAACCTGTAACTTTTTGGAGGCTTGGGTAGGCTCTTGTTTGCTGTTTTGTTAAAATAAATGTGTTATAATGTAGTCATCAACAAGGAAGAAAACCTTTCAAATCAAAAATTAAAATTATTTTATGTCTATATTGTTCTTTACATGTATTTTTTGTTCACTTATTTTTCTACGTACTTTTCTGGCCCCAGTTGGCTTAAAGATGGTTAATGCTATCTACTGGATAGTGTAATTGGTTTTCCTAATGCCTATATGTTGGATGCTGATTTATCTGGTGAATAGCTTACTATCCAATGGAGCCTGCCTTATTTAATGTGTAGTTTTCCAGCACCTTTTCTACAACAATTTTCATATCAATTTTTATTTCAGAAATACCTAGAGGAAGAAAGTTCTCTTGTGGAGGGTGTTGTAGGATTTCATGACGCAATAAGAAAATGTAAGTTTAGTTGACCCTCAACTAACACTCATCCTTAAAGCATAATGGCACTGGAACCTTGTTATTTAATCTATTACCAAACTGTCCTTCTTTCCTTAGAGCCACATGCAATGAGCAATAAAATGAATTTATGCAAATTAATGGTAAAAAGGAGGAGAGATTGGCTTCCACCCTTTTTCCTCACGGCCTCGCTACTCGCTTCTCACATGTGCTCTCGATCTCCGTGACTCAAAAGAAAAATAAGAGATTGCTCACAGTCTGTTACCAAATACTTAAATTTTTTCTCCTTCTTCTTTCAATTTTCTGGACAATGCTTTATTTGTACGTGTAGTTTGATTGAGATTCTTTCATTGCATGTTTACAGCCGTGTTTCCTGTATGTGTTTTATTTTGTACAGATGTTAGCTATGTCATAGGAATAACATATCAAACAATAGACAGAAGCCTTATCTCTGAACTTCTTGGAGGGCTCCAAGGTATGTGATTTATAGAGTGATGTTGCTTGACAAGTGGATGGTATTGGAACCGTACAAATAATTACAGTTTACTCTGTCAAAGACCAGCTCCTATAAGAACACAATATACAAAACACCCAACTTTTCCTAGTAAAAACTCTATAAACCTTGTGTAAGTGAACACCTCGCGTAAGGGACCGCAACATATTTTTGTCTGACAGTTTTAAAATTTTCCATTATTTTTAATCTCTCGTAAGCGAACGTGTGACGCATGGTGTGATCTCTTTGTTTTCTTATACACATATTACAACACTCAGAGTATACAAAGAACATAATTATATTCAGTGACATGGAACTACACATGTCATTACTTAGAAGTTGCATGCAATAAATTCTCTTCCAAAAAGTAAGTGTCGAGACCTCTTCTTGGATGAGACCCCTTGTGATTTGATTCTTGCCAGCGGCCCCCTCCTGTAAGCGACTGTTAATTCTTTGGTACTTTGACTGTAAGATTATTATTATACGGTTTTTCCTGTGGTTGACTATGAGGACAAAAGCACAACATACCAACTAGGACAATGTTCTCAGTTGATTGTCACATATTCTAATGAACAGTAGATGTTGAAGGTTAATCAACATCTAGTCAGTAAATAATCTCACTGGTAATAATTTTGATCATTAATGTCTAATCTGGGAAACTGCCCACCTACCCCACCCCTAAGCCAACATTAACACTTCTTACGTAGGGCAAAATTTTGGCGTAGGGGAGTAGTAGGTGGGGCAGTTTCTCAGAAACGTATAATGATCCATAATTTTTTTGCAGGGGATGAACTCAATAACTGGATCAAAACACAGAACTGGACACTCAAAGAGGATGGAAAAGTATTTATTTGTAACCAAGACGCACACATCAAATCCAAAAATATTGCAGAGAAAATCGATTTTGACAGTAAGTGAAGACAGTGCCTAAGTTTTACAAACTTTGCTTTTTGTTCAGAGGATACTTCCTAACCCTTTAAGTCTCAACAGTGACGAACATCAATTTTGTCCTAACGATATCAATACATGGACAAGAGAAAAAGTCATGAGAATTAATTAATTGACCACCAAGGGGAAAGTGCTGTGATCTGCTAACAAATTCTCTCAACTGATTCTTAAAGGAAAAGTATGGCAGACAGTCTGGAGAATTTGTATGTGGATATTGAGACTTTAAGGGTCAATAGACCTTTTTACCGATACGGCGGCCATATGGAATTAATTCGATTTAAGGAGTATTATAGGATACCCAGGGGGCATGAGCACATTTCGTTTGTATTTTCGGGCGCTTTTGGGGACATTTTTTTCTTAAAGTTTTCTTAGAATAAGATTGTAATGGGAAAAAAGATCCTTGTGCCGTGTTTGGATGTAATAATGATCACCTTTTTCTAGTTTAGTATTAGAAATATGGTCTTTCACTGTATATTTCTCGGGAAAAAGGCGATCATTATTACATCCAAACACGGCACAAGGATCTTTTTTCCCATTACAATCTTATTCTAAGAAAACTTTACGAAAAAATGTCCCGAAAAGCGCTCGAAAATACAAACAAAATGTGCTCATGCCCCCTGGGCATCCTATAATACTCGTTAAATCGAATTAATTCAATATGGCTGCCGTATTGGTAAAAAGGTCTATTGTCACTAACATACAGGTTACACTTTGATGATCATCCTTAAATCTGACTTTATCTTAATGTCAATTTTAACCCAAAACACTTGCTCATTCATGTGATTTTGATGCCTACTTTATTATTGAGCTGCCTGTGGCAAAGCCCAATCAAGTTTTAACAGTGCGCTAGATGTATGACCCACCAGACATTGCGTGTCTCATTTGTATTCAGTGATGAGCACTGGGTGTTTTCTAGGTAATTTGAATCTAGTCTAGCGTGGCATTGTTCTTGGGTTCTAATACAGTTTATTTTGTAACATTCCAGGTGTGGCTGGAATAATCGCCTTAGCCAAGTAGAAGACTCCTCCAATGCACTGCCACCTCAGCAGATATCTTCAGTTTTCAATTTAAGCGTGGTTTCCCTGTGGTTGTTATGACTTCTGCAATGGCTGTAGCCTGTGAACAAGACCTCTATTGTGAGAGGCGAGCGAAGCAAGCTGTGAGAGAACACTCAACCGATCGATGAAGCCCCAGGTGGTGTCTCCTTGGTATCGGGTCGTTTCGCCTGAAGGTCGATTCGCCCGATGGCAGTTCGCCCAGTCTAAGTCGATTCGCCCGATGTGTATTTTGTAGTGTGAGAAAAAGGAATGAGCATGGAAAGACATTGACTGCACTTGTGGTATCCAAGGTTAACTAAAATAACATCTCGGAGAAGTAGGTTCACCATGTGGTAGAGTTTTGTATGTCATCGGGCGAATCGACTAATGTCCTGGCAAACGCCTTCGGGCGAAACGATGGCAATTCGTCTCCTTCCGTGTGCCGCTGTCGGGTTCCTTCTCGTGACAGACCCCAAATGGAGCGCTTGCACACAGGTTACCAGCTATTGGAATGACTGTATGGAAACACTCCCTTGGAGGAAAAATTCTTAATGCTATATCTCTCTGTCAGCTAAACCCCAAAACATGATCTTAAAATATAAAAATTGAAATGTAATCATCTATCGTGCTTTTCAACTATCTGTAATGTTTTTCAAGTTCTAAGGTTGATGTACTCTGAGCTGTTTTTACAAAATTTGTGTCGTAAATTATATTCTGCTTGTTAGGTACTGAAATGTACTGTTTACTTTACATTTATTGGAAACAAAATTATAAATCTCAGTTTAAAAACCATTATGCCGGTACGTAGTTTATGGAGGTGATTAACACATTTTGTTTGCGCACATATATGGATGTCCTCAAACTCCAGCATGGATCGCCACCGGAACAGAAAGCGGGCACAAGACGCCTCGATCTGTTTCAGAAAGATAAATGCTACTAGTAAGGTGGTTAAATGTCAGGGTAGATCGACTCGATCTAGCCCTACACAGACGGTCCATCTTTTTTAAGAGTTGATCTAACTCACCCATCGTGAGCGACGCAGAGACTTCAAGCATGCGGGGAATGAAACGGGGGATATTCGCACGCAGAACACGGAAACAAGGGGCGGGGGGGGCGTGCCATTACAAAACAGGTTAACGCTGATCTGCATACATAAGCTAGCTCGTTGGGAAGATTACAAAGTAGTAGGCCTGGGATCGATTTCTAGCAACGAAAACCACAGGCCTGAGACAGGCCTGAGGTCAAGAGTAATGTAGAAGTGTAGCCATTGTTTCTGAGACTGAAAACAATAGCTACACTTGTAAATTACACTTGTAAAAAGTTTTATTAAATTGGCCCCTGGTCTCACAGCACTTTCACTGATCGAACTCTTGGAATTGTGGGACGTGAAAGAACCCACAATGCTGTTCGAAAACGGACTTGACACTGGGCTGGGTGGACAATTTAAGGGTGGATATCAATTGGGACGGACTGTTTCTTCTTCTGTCATCGTATCGATTTGTTACGGTGAAATCAATAAATCAAATCGTTCTTTATTGAAGGAAANTTTGTTTGCGCACATATATGGATGTCCTCAAACTCCAGCATGGATCGCCACCGGAACAGAAAGCGGGCACAAGACGCCTCGATCTGTTTCAGAAAGATAAATGCTACTAGTAAGGTGGTTAAATGTCAGGGTAGATCGACTCGATCTAGCCCTACACAGACGGTCCATCTTTTTTAAGAGTTGATCTAACTCACCCATCGTGAGCGACGCAGAGACTTCAAGCATGCGGGGAATGAAACGGGGGATATTCGCACGCAGAACACGGAAACAAGGGGCGGGGGGGGCGTGCCATTACAAAACAGGTTAACGCTGATCTGCATACATAAGCTAGCTCGTTGGGAAGATTACAAAGTAGTAGGCCTGGGATCGATTTCTAGCAACGAAAACCACAGGCCTGAGACAGGCCTGAGGTCAAGAGTAATGTAGAAGTGTAGCCATTGTTTCTGAGACTGAAAACAATAGCTACACTTGTAAATTACACTTGTAAAAAGTTTTATTAAATTGGCCCCTGGTCTCACAGCACTTTCACTGATCGAACTCTTGGAATTGTGGGACGTGAAAGAACCCACAATGCTGTTCGAAAACGGACTTGACACTGGGCTGGGTGGACAATTTAAGGGTGGATATCAATTGGGACGGACTGTTTCTTCTTCTGTCATCGTATCGATTTGTTACGGTGAAATCAATAAATCAAATCGTTCTTTATTGAAGGAAAACAACGCCACACAAAGACTGAAGGTCATGGGGCGAAACAGCACGCAGCACCATAATATGGATCGTCCTTTAGCTATGAGGCGAAATAAGCGCGCTACTCAATCATACAATTCACGTGCGGCTGTTGGCCGCCTGACCCTTATGTTTAGAATTTTCCACAGTTATGTGGACGTTGGAAATCAGGTTCTGGTCCAGAGTGGGCGTGCAGACATTCGACAGGCCAACTTCACAACAGGAACTTCCACTAGACACTAGTACCGTTATAGTCTGTTAAACCGGAGCTCTCGCGTGCGCGAAGCGCGCACAGCGGGGAACCATGGGTAAGAAAATTTGGTTATGTATGCATCAAATAAATTTTTTCCTCGGACAAAATCGTACGTACGTACGTCCACCACGTTATGTAAGCTGGGGTGAAAGAAGACACAGGAACAAAGCCGAATATGTTTTTTCCATTAAATTTCAATGTGTTCACCAACGTGGATAACCGAGAAAAAGCTAGAGCGAGAGATCATAAACAAAGGAGAACGAATTTCGCTGGAAGAAAAACATAAAAATTTTATAGCGACGGTGAGTGTTTTTTGCTGTTCTCGTTGCCGTTTCCATTTAGCGCTACACTATTTTATTTTTTGTTTGAGTTAACTACGAGTATATCAACGATTGCTTCGCTTTTAGCTCTATATCTTAAGTCTCATATTCTTTCCGTGCCGAAACTTTTTCCTCATACGGGACCCAGACAGGAATTAGTTTAGAACAACATGGCCGCGCTTAAACCAATATGGCGGACGGGCTAAAAATAATTTTCTTAACACAATACCTTATGATTTAACGACGTGCAAAACAAAGGTGATAAGGAAAGCGGGAATTCAGAAAGAGGTTTTGTTCGGCTATTGGAAACCTTAAGCAAGGACTATGGAAACGTCTTGTACTGTAACCGGAAGTTTAAGGGGGTAGCATGAAAACTTTTTGATAAAAAGTGAATTCGCGTTCTTTCAATTTTTTTTTCTAAATTATTCCAACTCGCAGACTTTGTCAGATGTAGGAGTCGAATTCCCAAGAAACATTCGACTTCAGTTGTTTACGTCCGCCATTAATTAGGCATTTTCACGTCGAAGTCGTGCAGTGACGGCACGTGGTGCACGTGCAAAGCTGTTTTTGTTTTGCAAAATTAAACCAACAATAATAGTTCAGTTCTACGCTCAACAATACGTTGGAGATCATGGCGCGCCGTGGTGTTATCAAACTACCGTAAGTATTTAGATGTATATATATTTTTACCAGTTTATTATGCCAGTGTTAGAGACAGAATGTCTGATACACTCATTTTATCCATTTTGGTCATTCTTGGCAAATTCTAAAGGCGTATTTTTCGAAGAGCCCCAAATTCGGTGTCAGGCACGACACCGAAGTGAAAAATACGGCCAAATATTATTTACGGAAAATACAGGAAAGACGATAAGGGAAAGACGATAAGCAAAATTTCACCCGTGGTCAAGTAAATAGAACTGGTAAAACACAAAAAAACTTGAAAAACTTTGCATATGCATCACATTTTTTGTATAAATTTCTTTGCCGCGGAGGGTCATCACAAGACTTCAACTTCAGGAGAGTTCGCCTACATTCGACAAAGTAAGCAAGTTGGAATAATTGCGATAAAGATTGAAAGAACCCGAATT